TGTGAGTCAACTCCCTGTATAGCTATCCTTATCTCAACTAGCAAAAACCCTTGTTCCTTCCTATTATTGCTTATACTCTCTTCAACAAAATTAGAGTTTCTGCCGGGTATTGAGGGGGTGGGGGGGAGAGGGAGGGAGTGGGGTGGGTAGTAAGGGAGGGGGTGGAGGGAGGGGGTGGAGGGAGGGGGGAGAAATGACCCAAGCATTGTATGCACATATGAATAATTTTAAAAAATTAAAAAAAAAAGCTTTTGCACAGCAAAGGAAACAATTACCAGAAGAGACAGCCTGAAGAATGGAAGAAAGTCTTTGCCAGCTATTCATCTGACAGGGGATTCATATCCAGAGTATATAAAGAACTCAAAAAAGTAAACACCAAAAGAACAAATATCCAACCAATAAATGGACAAATCAACTGGAGAGATCTCAAAAGTACAAATGACCAATCAATACATGAAAAGATGTTCATCTTTAGCCATCAGAGAAATGCATATTAAAACCTCACTGAGATTCCCTAACCCCAGTCAGAATGGCTATCATCAAGAAAGCACTGGGTATACAAGAGATACCTGCATTCCCATGTTTGTTGCAGCCCTGTTCACAACAGCTAAACAGCCAAGGTGCCCAACTACCAATGAAAGGATAAAGAAAATATAGTATACATACACACACATCATAGAATATTAGTCATAAAGAAAAATTAAATTATGCCATTTGCAGGAAAATGAATGGAACTGGAGAGCATGTTGAGTGAGATAAAGGAAGTGCAAAAAGCTAAATATTGCATGTTTCACTGATTTGTGGAACCTAGACCTAAAATGATGATGATAATAATGGGACATCAATGTGAAAGGGAGATTGGTCTGAGAGGGATTAGTGGGGAAGGAGGGGGAAAGGAAACCATACTGAGGGGCGAAGAGGATCAAAATATGTTACACACACACACACACACAAACACACATACATGTGATCAGGAAAACTTCCAAATTCTTGGTGTCCCACTTGGAAGAATCCATAGCAGGACACATGGGTATAACTGGAGTTTATTAAAAGTTAGGGAAGGAAATTACAAAAGGAAGCATGGTGGGCCCAGGAGGAAGCTGGAAGTAGAGAGCTTGCCTCTCTGCTCCAGGTGCTTTTAAAACCTATGCTAACCTATGGGAAGGAAGAACCTGGAGATTCCCAACCAATAATCAATGAGTGGGGAGGAGCACGGGTGGTCCCAGGGCATCTGAGCTGTCCCTGAGCCCAGACATGGGCAACCTACACACACACACACACACACACACACACACACACACCTGCAATTGAATAGAAGACAGAGAGAGAGAGGAATGTTCATTCTGAAGTACAGTATTAAGTCATGTATTTTCTATGAGTCCCGAACTTTCCCTAACTCTAGCCTGCCTCACATGTACATGTATGTATGTGTATGTACACACATACATATATACCCATATATATACACGTATACATAAAAAATATATATGTATATATAAAGACAGCGTAATGAAACCCACCAAACACTCTTGAAAAAAGAGGGAAGGAGAGGGGAATGGGAATATAATGAAGAGGGTGAACGTGCTCACTGTACGCATAACCAAGCAAATGGTTTGTGAGACCCTATGTTGAAAACAAAAAAAAAGGGCTGGTGGAGTGGCTCAAGGTGAAGCCCCTGAGTTCAAATCCCAGTACAGCAACAACAACAAAAAACACAAAGCAAAAAACAAAGCCAGACATAGTGGCTCATGTAATCCCAACTACTCAGGGGGAGAGAGTACAACAGAGGACAGAGTGAGCGGCTAATACGATCAAAGTACATTATATGCATGTATGAAAACGTCACAGTGAAACTCGTCATTTTTGTATAATTAATATATGCTAAAAATAATAAAAAAAATTTTTTTGAGTTCCTTCTTCCTTTATAGCTCCCGTTAGGGAGTGACTTGTCACCATCACAGCTCCATCTGAGTCTGACACAAAATAGGTACTTACTTGTTAGCAGGCGTTCTTGGAAAATGAAAGTGTGAATGAACTCTAAGTTCTACCGGAGCACCAAGTTTAGAGAGAACTGTTTCACTATGAGGGAAGGAATGAGCTCCTTTTTTTGAGTCCTGGGACAACACTGGGAGTAATAGTTCCTGCCTCCCTCCAGTGTCACGATGTGAGGCACCGGCGGACAGGAGATTGGAGAAGTAACGTGGACCATAAAGACAATGCAGATAATCCGAAGTCTAAGATTTCAAACAGGGAGACTCAAAGGAAAAGTAACAGGCAAGCTCACAGCTAAGTGTTGATAAAGCTAAACTCAGCAAGGCAGTCTTTTTACTTCAGGCTCTTCCCACCAAACTCACGTGGCTTTAATGGAAGCCTAACAGTTCTGGGGTGGCTGGGCTAAGTGGCCAAAGGTCAGGAACGTTTGGCACCTTTCTGAAAGTTTGGTCAACGATGGACCAACCTCTAAAACTTCAGCTTCATGAAACGAGAACGTCCTCCTCGTGCAGGAATTCTGTTGCCATCATGTGCGCGGCGATGCTCCGCTATCCAGGCCTCCTCAGCCCAGCACCTCACTTTTCCTCTTTCACCGTCACCTCCACCTCTCTTCTCCCATTGTTTCGACTCATGCTCTCGTGATCGGGGCTGGGAAGTGTAGTCGCACGCCCCGCCGGCTAAACTCGTTGGGTAGCTCTACAAACTTGTTACCTCCTCATAGCTCATTCGAGCTTCGAAATGGTCTGGAAGGCCCAGCCCATTTATCCGAGGAGCGAGCTGGAATTTGCAGTTCCCAACACCTGAAACAAGTCTGCAGGCAGAGGGCTCTTACGACTCTTAATTCCTTCTCCCACCCGGAGCCTCGCGCGTGCTGATGACGTCACGAGCACCCGCGAAAGTCCCTGGGATACGTGGTGGTTCCCCAGACAGGTCCCGCCCTTGGTCTACACGACTCAAGGACTACACTTCCCACAAGTCCTTGCGGCGGCGCGCCAAGAGTTACCTGAAGCTGTGATTGGCTGGTGAGCCGGCCGCACGCGGAGGAGCTCAAGGAGCAGCTCTGTTGCGACAGAGGCCGAGCGGCGAGGCCCAGTGAGTTGGGGGGAAGGGGCGCTAGTGGGTTGGAGGGTGAAGAGGAGGCAGGAAAAGGAGGAAGGACGGGGTCGGGATGGAGAGGGTTGCGAGGGAGAAGAAAGGGCCCAGGGAGAAAAGCCGACGCGCGAGGTGTGGGGGAGCTTAAGGGGCTGGCGAGTGTGGAGGCTGTGAGGGGACTCGCCCGGAGAGGAGGAGTGCGTCCCGGGAAGAAGTTGGGCCAGACGGTCGGGATGTAAGGGAGATGACGGAGAGGAAGCCGGGGAGAAACGGGAGGAGCAAACACGGAAAGTGAGGCTGCCGGCCGAAGTGCGAAGCGCCAATCGTGGGGAAACCGAAGACTGGGACCTCTGCTGAGGGGCAGAACCTGGTCCCTAACTAGAGGTCCCGAAAGAAGAGCGTTACCAAAGTGAGGCCGTCGGGGGTGGGGGGAATGGTGGACGAGGCCGAGGGGGAGAGGTGTTGACACTGGAAGAGCTGCTGAGAAGTGGGAGCTGACGCGAGAGACCCTGACAGAGTTGGGAGAGGCGAGGCGGGGCTGAGGAAGGCATCGGAGACTCGGGAGGAAAGTTCCAGAGGGGGATGCATCCTTCCCAGTAAGGTTAGGACTTTGGAGTATCTGTTTGCCTTCCTTCAGAGTCCCTGGAAGAACAGTAACCCATCCCTGTGGTTCGTCACCATGCCCTCGGACCTGGCCAAGAAGAAGGCAGCCAAAAAGAAGGAAGCTGCCAAAGCCCGTCAGCGACCCAGAAAGGGACATGAGGAAAACGGAGATGCAGTCACAGAACCACAGGTGGCAGAGGAGAAAACTGAGGCCAACGGCGGAGAGACCGCAGGTGATGGGGTCGGGGGTGAGTTCCTGTGTTGGTTGCTAAGACTAAACGCGTGCTTCGGCCAGAGTCAGAATCTGAATGTCCGGCAATGGAGACTGTATCTAGCTCTGCAGTGGTGGCATGTGTCTGTAATCCCTGCACTTTGAGGTGAGGCAGGAGGATCATAAGTTCGAGGTCAGCCTGGGCTACATGGTGAGACCCTGTCTCTTAAAAAAAAAAAAATTAAATATGGCCATGAAATGTTTCTTAATGAACTAAGTCTATAGAGTTGGAGTTTGTGCCACTCTGTTACTGATCAAGAAAACAGAACACAAGTGACAAGCAAAGATGGGAGTCGTTGAGCTTCCTCGTTGCCCTATTGGACTGTGAGAAGTTAGTTTCCTGCCCATTTCTGTTACCATTCCTACACAGGGTGGCAAGTATTACCACGTGATAATTTTGTCATCACAGGGGTAGTGATTACACTAACAAAAGAGTAACTTATGCATTGTTTTATAGGGTTTTCCTGGGAAACAGCTGTGTCTTTGTTACTTATATTTTGGAAAATATTTATTGAGCCCTTCTCAAATATTGTGTGTAGCATCATGCTACACAACTGTAGTGCTGTAAAGGTAGTCTGCTCTCTGAGAACTTAGACTCTATGTGGGGAAGCATGGCAGTGTAATAAACACTATCCTAGGCCCTTTTCAGTCTAATCCAGTCTCTTCCCTGGCCCCTGAAAACTCCCTACACAGCCCTCCTTCTCCATCCACTCTATTCATTGACCCTTGAATATTGCCACATTTCTTTCCTTTCACACACTAAAGTCTAATCACAGTGTTTGTGGGAGCTACATTTGACATTGCCTAGCACAAGATAGCAAAGCTTTCCCCAAAGAAAACTGACCTCAGTTATATTCCCATTCACTGTACTTTATGTTGTCTTATAGTGTTAGTCTATGTTATAGCTTCTGTTTTTTTCACCTAAATTGTTTGCTTTTTTGA